GCCCTCCCAGTTCCCTCCCAGTATTCCCAGTATCCCCAGTTTCCGCCGAACCCCAAACATCCCCAGACCCCGGCGGGTTCCAACAACTTTAATGGGGCACAACAAGGGGGGGACAAAACCAGTTCAGGCTCCCAGTTTGTCCCAGTTTGGGTTCCCAGTTTGGGCTCCAATCCCAGTTTGGGCTCCAATCCCAGTTCACACTCCAATCCCAGTCTGTCCCAGTTCGGGCTCCCAGTCTGTCCCAGTTTGGGTTCCCAGTTCACGCTCCAATCCCAGTTCGGGCTCCAATCCCAGTTTGGGTTCCCAGTTTGGGCTCCAATCCCAGTCTGTCCCAGTCTGTCCCAGTTTGGGTTCCCAGTTCACGCTCCAATCCCACTTTGGGCTCCCAGTTTGGGCTCCAATCCCAGTCTGTCCCAGTCTGTCCCAGTTTGGGCTCCCACTCTATCCCAGTTCGGGCTCCCAGTCTGTCCCAGTTTGGGTTCCCAGTTCACACTCCAATCCCAGTTCGGGCTCCAATCCCAGTTTGGGTTCCCAGTTTGGGCTCCAATCCCAGTCTGTCCCAGTTTGGGTTCCCAGTTTGGGCTCCCAGTCTGTCCCAGTTTGGGTTCCCAGTCCATCCCAGTTTGGGTTCCCAGCCGTCCCAGTTGCTCCCAGTCGCTCCCAGTTTGGGTTCCCAGTCGTTCCCAGTCCATCCCAGTCAATCCCAGCCGTCCCAGCAGTCCCAGTCGCTCCCAGTTTGGGTTCCCAGTCCATCCCAGTTTGGATTCCCAGTTGCTCCCAGTCGCTCCCAGTTGCTCCCAGTCCATCCCAGTTTGGGTTCCCAGTCCGTCCCAGTTTGGGTTCCCAGTCGCTCCCAGTCGCTCCCAGTTTGGGTTCCCAGTCGCTCCCAGTCTCTCCCAGTCTCTCCCAGTCCATCCCAGTTTGGGTTCCCAGCCGTCCCAGTCTGTCCCAGTTTGGGTTCCCAGCCGTCCCAGCCGTCCCAGTTTGGGTTCCCAGTTTGGGTTCCCAGTCGCTCCCAGTCCATCCCAGTTTGGGTTCCCAGCCGTCCCAGTTGCTCCCAGTCTCTCCCAGTTTGGGTTCCCAGTTTGGGTTCCCAGCTGTCCCAGTCCATCCCAGTCCATCCCAGCTGTCCCAGTTGCTCCCAGTCCGTCCCAGTTTGGGTTCCCAGCTGTCCCAGTCACACCCAGTCCATCCCAGTTTGGATTCCCAGTTGCTCCCAGTCTCTCCCAGTCTCTCCCAGTTTGGGTTCCCAGTCCATCCCAGTTTGGGTTCCCAGTCTCTCCCAGTTTGGGCTCCCAGTCCATCCCAGTTTGGGTTCCCAGTCCATCCCAGTTTGGGTTCCCAGCCGTCCCAGTCGCTCCCAGTCTCTCCCAGTTGCTCCCAGTCGCTCCCAGTTTGGGTTCCCAGCCGTCCCAGTTGGGTTCCCAGCCATCCCAGTCCATCCCAGTCCGTCCCAGTTTGGGTTCCCAGTCCATCCCAGTTGCTCCCAGTCTCTCCCAGTTTGGGTTCCCAGCCGTCCCAGTCGCTCCCAGTTGCTCCCAGTCGCTCCCAGTTTGGG